ATCCCATGGTGAAAACAAGTTTCCATAATAATCACACAAATTTGGCTAAATTGTGCAGCCTTTCAAACAAGCATAGCAAATCTGGACGTTTTTTTTAAGACACCACAATTTTTACCAGAAAAATTTCAATTACATTTTTTCCCTCCAAATTATGCAGCCCTAATTTTTGGGAGGCTTAACTTTTACCGTTTACTGGCCGTAAGTCATAAAAACTTTTCTTCCCTTTCTCAGGTTTGTGTATTAGATCTACGGAAATGACGCTGCCGCTAGGAAGCCATGGACCGACTATGAATGTGTGCATAGCCAAATTTACCAACTGTCCCTGGCCCACCATCGTCCGCTGCTGTAGTTCACGCGTGTGAGACACCAGACCAGCGGTCCCTCGGCTCCATCACAACACGCAGAAATCACTCACTGCGATGTTGATTTGACTGTTGTGATTTGAGTCAGATCAAATGAAAAGTCCAGAATAAAATATATTTTGATAGTGTTCTCTGTCTGTGCTTATGAATCTCTATGAATGCAGAAACACTTTGTCATCAAGAGGATTGCACTTAGATTCTACGGTGTATATTATGTAATGCATGAAAGCCAGAATGTAGAATTTGGTTTTAATAACAGCAGCTCTAAAGCTGAATCGGCTTAAGTTTGTGTCAAACATGATGATCATGTTTGAGAATGATTCAGTCGAAACAAGAACATCTGACTGTCTGTATAAAGGAAGTCACACATCTGCTTATTTTATCAGTGATGTAGAAACGGTGCACAATCATCATTTTGTGTCATAATTTTGTTTTTCACGTAAAAATTCCAACAAAAAAAAAAGTGCTTTATTTTTGACTTGTCACGAAAGTTTATCAGTCTAAAGTTTAGTAGTGTATCATGTGCTTTTAAGTCTTGCCAGTTTAAGCATTCAAACGATTTCAAACCGTTCAAGCAAAAGAAGAATTCGGCACGCGAGCGCTGTTTTCTGTGTGCGCGCACAGAGCTGCGTCTCAGAGCGCCATTACAGAACTGTTTCACTTTTGACTTTGAGTAAATTAATCTACAATAAATCAATAAATATAGGCTAATCAATCACTGTTGAGACAGTACATTAAACATTTTGTTTGTGTAATTAGCGTTCAACATCGCAAGCGCAAGCGGAGCGCCTTCAGAAGGATGCATTATTCTAAAATCTTTTAGCGCTGCTTGGATTCAACTCACTTTATTTTCCTCATTCGTTTGAAACCAAATTAAATATTTGTTTGTGATTTTTATTAGTCATGTAGGATAAGACTGTAACTGATATCATGTGCGTTAGGCTACAAGAAGAGACTAGTGTTTGGGTCATTC